AAATTGGAGTCTCAACTATGGAAGTTACTTTATTAATTTTATAGCTGATGAACATCAGTCTTTACCTTTAACAGAAGACACATATGGAACAAGTACAAACTTACCAAAAGGTGAGCCTCCAAGTCTTGCCTCCAAGGCTTGCGTCATTGTCAGGTAACAGCGGTCAGTAAGAGGAGTCTGAACTAGTTTATCCTGAACACCAAGATACTCAAAGCCATAGTTGAATTTGGCATTTGCCATCTGAATGGACAGCTGTTGCAACACATCTGTCTGTTTTGGGTCAAAGTAGAATCGCATCTGGCTGAGCCACTCAAAGGATTTGGAGTTGTCAATCTTACTTTTGATCAGTGATCTTGTAACATCTCTTTGGTGCACTAACTCTGTAATCTGGAGAACAAGCATCTCATTAGCAACCACCACGAAAAAAGACCATGTACTCTAATGAAACTAACAGTTTTACTGCATCTCACTGCACCTCAGTTTATGAAAAGTCATTGCTCGGTGCTAGAAGGCATCATCTAATATCCATCCTCTACCTTGCAGACGGGAGGAGCTAGTAAAAAAAGTCTGTTGCTACAGGATCCCTCTCAGTCAAGCTTCAAGCCAAGGCATGGTTCTGAAACCACAAGAGCTGTCCTTATGGACAACCTTTTTCTGTCCACAAGCAGAGAAAGGAAGCAAATCCATACTCATCCTGCTACACCTCTCTGGCACCAGATACTGTTAGTCACCAGATATTCTTGTCTGCCTCCAAGAAGCTGTAATGATGAGTGAGAGTGCCCTTAAACCAGCTCACATTTTCCTCTAAGAAACCCCAAGTGCTGTAGAGGGAAAGTGTTTCTACATCCCTCCCCACCAAAAGCCCTCACCTCTGAGGTCCCACAAATTTTAATCCTCTGCAAAAGTTATTCAAAGTCTATATAAAGCCACCAAGAGAATTGGTGAGACACTATGGGCTGAAATCTCAGCAGGTACAGACCAAAACTGAGCTCTACATCTCCATTCCCAGCTTTCAGTAGCTGGAATCAGCAGCTGAATGAAGCGCATCTGACTAGAGCTAAACCCAGCCAAGACTGAGATGCCGGTAGATAAAGAGAAATGTTTCTAAGAACTTGCTTCCTCCAAGACTCCACTATGGAGGGCACCTTCCCCTCAGACTAGTTTATCACTAGCCTTCAATCCTTTTGGATGCCAAAGGCACAAAAAATGTCAACTTTCATCTGCAATAGGCTAGAAATTGACACCTCATTGTATCAGCAGACTTGGACATGGTAAGGCTGAAGGTCCACAGATTTGATTATTGCAAGTCACGTCTAGCAGTGAAACCACACCCCATGTGAAAGCTCCAACTTGTACAAAACACAGCACTCTAGTTTCTTGGCAGCACAGACTGCCACAAACACCATTCTGTGGCTTTGCACTCTACACTTGTTCCCCAATTAGAAGTTTAGGTCAAGGTTTATTTTATGGGAGCCTTTGAACAACAGGACAGATTGTCAGTTGCACTCGTGTGGTGGAAAGTAGAGCTTCTTAGGAGGAGCTGGAGTTAAGCTATGAATTCAGTGGGCAAGAAGTGATGGACTTTCATAGCTAAATGCAAAAAACCTTCAGTTTAGCTTTTCTTTCTTCAGAAAGTTCTTCACGTGCCTATGACAGCCCCTCACACAAACACAGAAGTTTTAAATTAAGCTATTTCTCCTATAAGTTGTTTGTATTTTTAAACAGCTGAAGGAGCTCAGACACTACGGTTACTGGAGCCAAGTACATACATAGATGATAAAAGTGAATATAAACTATAGATTTATAAATCTATCTACTCTCAGAATAGGAGATTGGGTGGTATATTCCAAGAGTTGTTTCTATTCACTAAATAATTCTTCAGAATCTTATGCTACACTGACATTTAAGTTTAGATGTTATTTCAAGTCAGGCATATGTAATATCTACAGAAACAGCTGTTCCTCAAGAAAGCTTGATGGGAATATTTTAGTTTTCCCTAGGTGTCAGTTTCATGATTTGAAGATAGACAGATTGTGTTTAAATTTTGTAAGAGACCGAATGACTACTTGAGGATGGGGAGGAGAGTATTACTTACCAAGTGTTCCAATTTCCTTCTGCGGAGAGGTGGCTGTTCCATCAACACAGAGTCTGCTAACACGTTCAGCGTGACCTCAACATTAGCCAGCACAGAGTGCAGAGGACTGCTGTCTCCATCACCACCCATGCCATTCAGAGCAGATTCCACGTTCTCTGACCATGCAATTTGGGCTGACAGGACAACAAGCTGGGCCTGAACATTTAAAATACAGTTAGATTTTTGCTAAAAGTTGTTCCTCCCACAAAAGTGTATTAGATAGTTTGGTTAGACAAACGTGAATAAGATGGATACCTGATATTTGTCAATCCAAGAAATATAGAGAACTGGATCAATTGAAGTTGCTTTACCAAAGATTTCTACTTCAGTAACAGACTCAGCCAGCAGCTTTGCAAGTGTGACCCTCATTTCTTTTTCAACAAGTGTGAGCCACTCATTTATCTTAGGATGTTCTGTGATAGACACAGGTGTTTTGAACAGCACCTGAAACAATTAAATGTAAGTGTAATTTTAGTTTTAATTTAGACCAGGTTTGTAAGTTTGCAAAAACCCCCGAAGACGCAGCTCTACCTCCTCTCCTTCACGTGATGAGATCCCCAGAATAACAGTGTTATCTTCATTCAGGATGATGCTAGAAACTCCAGCAAACATTTTCTTGAAATGTTTCTGCAGCTTAGCTACATTCTTGCTGTTTCCTATGATTTCGAGCAAGTCCTCATCACCAACGAAGTAGAACCTAGTATTAGAGATAAGGTTAAAGCTTTTTAAAACAACTGACCACTGAGGTGAAAGAATTTTTTTTTAATTAATTTAAGGCCCAGAATTAAATATATTTACTTGAACCCGCTATAACCCTTATAAAACTGGGGAAATATCTGCTAGTTTGTGCAATGCTGTGTAATTCCTTTCCTCCATACTTCTGTTAGCTCATAGTAAAAATACCTCAGGGCTTATTCTCTGCACCATTTTTAGTCTATCTAGAGTTTTCTTCCCACTTTAACACCTCATTAGCAGATAAATGCCAAGTATTGAAAGATTATGAGACAGCAAAGCTCCCACTCTGAACACATGTTTGACGTGGAGGTTATGTTTAGATCTACAATCCAAGGACTTCACATACTACTGAGAATTGAAGGTGAAATAGAATGCAACATGATTCAAATATAGAATGACAAGTTCTTAAGCTTTGGTATTTGATGAGAGATTCCTAAGGGTTTATTTAGTTTAACGAAACAAAACTAATTTGAGAATTTCATTGTTCAGTACCAGGTGAAACAGCCTATTAAGCAATATTTATATTCAAATTATGCCATTTAAGTTACTAATCACAAGTGACCCACACAAAGAAATTGAAGTTTGTCATTTCCCAGGAAATGGGACCATAAAATGACTAAATTGTTCAACCTTTATTTATTTATTTTTATGATTCCAAAGCATTCATGTTTTCATATCTGTGTATGCACTAAAAGGTTGCTAGCAGAACACAATAAAAGGATGTACTTAGGCACTACTGTGCAAACGAACACAATTCATATTAGAGTTTATTCCAGCACAATTGGTTGAGGAGATGAAATTCCTTACCGAGGAAAGGAGGATCTCTCCCTCTCCAGATATTCTCCCAATGTTTTCTGGATCTTTCCAAGCAAGTCTGCTAATCTCTCCAGTGACTTTTGTACACCTTGAATGTTAAGAACATCCATCACAAGGGGAGATTTGGATACTTTTTTCATAAGTGCCAGAAACTCAGTACTGATGCTGTAAGTGAGAGTGAGAAAAATATTAAGCACACTTTAAATGAGGGATACAATAGTACAAGTTCCGTTACTGAGCGTGAAAAAGGGTGATATCTATTAATATTGTGTCAGAGTATTCTGGTGTGGCTGGCTTTATGCTACACTAAAGATGAATTCTAGTTGGAGCACTCCACATGGTACCCAAGAACCAGACAATGACTAACTCAATTGCCGGTGCTCAAATGGACCATACAGTAAATCCACTGCTAATGTCTACCTCTGACTCTCTGGAGAGGTGCATATATCTGTCCTGGGACACCTGAACCTGGTCAAAGACTTTGAAATGGATAAGAGACTGTTTGTTAGCTCAGGGTGGAGACATCAAATGAAGACTGGACACAGGCAGAAACTGCAAGGGTGCAATCTACCTGCCTAGCCCAATGCTAGATGATAGGTGGGACAAGAGGGGCTACCTCAACTTGCAAGGAAAGGCCAAGGTCTAGGAACTTCTA